ACATTCTGAGCGCAGTTGATGTCACAAGGCACAGGATTCCACTCCTCAACCAGGTGACCTTTGAAAGATGAGAGGAGGCTACTGCAAACAAGATTAAAATGTGTAAAGATTGTTCGTACCTTGCCATTCCCCAGTGGCAAACCCTGATTGAGAATACCCAGAGAGAAGGAAGAATATAGTAAACATATTACAGAGACGCTGTCTGTCCCCGTTTATCTTTATTTTCGTCACTTTTCTGTGTTGACACTGTCTACCCCAACCCCTTCAGCCCTGGAAACCTCTGTCCTCCCTGAATGCTCCTCCTTCTCTTCTCCTTTATCAACCTAATCTCTGTCAGCAAATATATGTTTTGTTTTTGTTTTTTAAGGTTTACGGTATATATTTTTCACATTTTCTTCAGAAATTCAAATTCATAAAAGTTGCAGGAAGAGGCTTGGGGCAGTGGCTCAGGCCTGTAATTCCAGCACTTTGGGAGGCCAAGGCGATTTGAGGTCAGGAGTTCAAGACCAGCCAGACCAGCTTGGTGAAACCCCCATCTCTACTCAAAATATAAAAATTACCCGGGCATGGTGGTGGGCACCTGTGATCTCAGCTACTCAGGAGGCTGAGGCAGGAGAATCGCTTGAACCCAAGAGACAGGTTGCAGTGAGCCAAGGTCACGCCACTGCACTGCAGCCTCAGCGACAGAGTGAGACTCCATCTCGAAAGTTGCAAAAATAAAATCAAAGAACACTCGTATGCCCGATATGCAGATTTTCCTATTAACCTTGGACCCCATTTGCTTGATCAGTTCCCTTTCCCCTATTCCCTGCCCCATGTATATGTGTGTATACTTAATTTTTTCTCTGAACTATTTGAAGGTAAGTCATAAGCACTATGACCTTTTACACCTAAGTACTCCTATGTGTATTTCTTAAGAACAAGGACCAAATATTATTTTCAGTGGTTGGTGCTCTTTTTAGCAAGTGACTAAAACACAAATGAGTGGCTTACTCAATACTGTTTTGCTCGTTGTTTAAGTCAGTTTGATGGGGAGACTCTGGGACTCCAGAGAAGCAAGGTTGCCTCTTCGTTTTGCTTGTCCCATAACAACCTCCTGCACTGGCGAGGTGTGGAATAAGGTGAAGATGACTGTGACAGTTGGAAGCTAAGCTGAAGGTGCCCCTTTCTAGATTATCACAACATGTCAACTAGATACAGAAAAGGGCTGCAGATCTAAATGGCAGGTATGTTTATGCTGCATGGGTGCTCTGGCCCGCTCTGGAAATAGTGATGGGCTTCTTTTGCAGTGGTGTTGAGCATGCATGAGTGGAGTGTGAGTTAGCTTCTGCACATGAGAGCCCAGAGTTGTCTTCCTGTGTGTATTTATTCACAGTACTGGAACAGTCAGAGGACAATGGGGAGAGCATGATTCCCCTCGTGTTCCTCCCCCATGGCCTGGTTTGGAGCATTAGGATGTGTTGGAAAGTAAATTGAAGCCCCATACTTTGGCAATTTGGGGGGCATCTGCAATTTTGTTTGAGCCATTATGGTGTAGAGAAAGCTTGAGAGTGTGGGCATCGGCTTATGTGACTTCTAATCCCCCATCTGCCATGAGCTACCTGTGTGATATTGTTCAAACCTCTCTGCCACTTGGTTATCCCATATTATTACTTTAGACTAAATTGGAGTGGATGCACGTCTGCCTGGCTAAAGCCCAGTGATTTACATGTGGACAGTAGCATCCCTGTGAGTGATCATACGGGACCCTCAGGACTTGGAAGTGCATTCTGTCTTAACCCATCACATTTCTCCCACTGCCAACTTCAGACTCTCCCACTGGAACCTCAGATCTAATGTAAAGGGGGCTCAAAATACTGGCGGGAAATACGGGAGGCGGAATCTCTCAGTGCCTGTGTAGAGTTTTAAAACATGACCCTGTTTTGATTTAGTCACTGATAAGCTTGCGGGAGCCTGGTGGTTCAGGGTGCACACCACTCCTCATAGCAGGACCCTTGTCTTGTGTGCTGTGTCCTCCCGAGGTATGCTGCTGCTGGTGGCCCAGGCAGGAGGTGACACTCTCAAAGCGATTGGTCACTACGTAAAATGTGTCTTTCTCTTGTTTGTTTCCCACCTGCTTTCCGAGCTCCTTTCTCGGACAGGTAAGATACCCTGTTTTTTGTGGATGACTTACATCCCCAGATGCCCTCCTCTGCTTGAGTTGTATGCATGTTGGCGGGGGGTGCTGTTGGGAGGGTCGCCTGGCTGGGGTATAGTCATCTCTCTCTCCTCCATTGCCATTATTTTCTGAACCACCAAGCGTCTCGTCCTAAGGCAAGAGGGACAATGTGTGGGGGTCATTAGAGCCATCATCAAGAAAGGGACCCATTGTACATCCTCAGACATGGGGGTAAAGTGACCCCCAGCCAGAGCCCTACTTCCACTTTGAATAGAAGGGCAGTTCTCCTGGTCTAACCTCAAGAGCCCCTGAAGACCACTCCCATAGAGGGGGTTTTGAGTGGCTTTTATAAACGGAGAAAGGCTTGTGAGCAGTTTCCCTACAATGCCAGCCCATCATGCACGTTTTAAGAATTCATAGAAAAGTCAAATTTAGTTGAACAAACTTATAAAATGGCTATTAAAGGCTCTATCATACAAGACCCTAAGCTAGGCGTTGTGGAAGGTGAAGAAGCACTTCAGATGCTGTAGCCTCTCAAGGAGCTTACCATTTTAAGACAAGGTGTATTTACTGGAAAGATTTAGACAAGTGTAAAGGGAGTGCATGATAGGTTATCTTTCAATTACTTGAGAATTCAGTGCATTTTATAGACCATGTTATGAAGGATAGAGAGCAAAAAATACAGGAAATCCAAATTGGTACATAATCCAGAGTTACGTTTATTACTAAGAGTCTTTTAAAAATAATAGCTCATAATTTACGAATCACCTTGGCAGGTATTTTGGTGCTTGCCTTTTTAAAAACGAATATGTCTGCTCTGAAAATTCACTTTAAACCAGTAAGGAAACCAGCAAGGAAATATCTGATCTGGGAAGTGGTGGCAATTTGCCTTCCCCAAGCATTTTGTATGGTTTCATTATGGTCTATATACTTTCTGGTTTGGGGGAATATAGTTAAATGGTTTGGTTTCCAAATCTTCTTTGTTAGTTTGCAATGACATGATTAAAGAAAATAAGAACGATATGGGACCTGACAGGCAAATTGTGCCAAATTGGATGATGCGGCAAGATACACACTTAGGAGAATCATCAAGAGTTGACCCTGCTTGCTGTGGAGCGGGCTGGAAGCTTCTGCTAGAGTGGTGGGTGTATCTGGAGGCCAGCCAGCTCAGGTCCTGTGTCCAAGGGATGCTGTCATAGTGTTCCCTGGCCTGTCCTCACCTTGCAGTGGTGAAGATCGCAGAGTTCATCTGCAGAGAGCAGTCTCCACTCCTCTTCCCACAGCTTTTCCTCCCTGCCACCCAAAGGCCCTTAGAATATGGCGTATCTAGGTAGTTGGCCTAGCAAGGATAGCGCCACTGAAACCACAAAAAAGGTTACCATCGGCCCAGGATGCAGCAGTGCAGGGCAGCGAGAACTGGTTTACACAAAAATTCAGCAGAAGAAAACCTGCACCTAACCCCAGTTACTCTTAGAAGAAGATTAGTGAGAACAGACACTTAGCAGAGGTGTTGGCAAGGAAAGGAGCCTAGTGATCAAATGATCCGGTAATTGCCTTCCCTCAGACTGACAGCTTATCTGGGGTAGTTGTTACAGACAGAAACCTTGATCCAGGTTCCAAGGCCTCAGAGTAGGTCTGGCTGCCTGATGACTGAGCTGGATTTCCAGATAGGTAGAGGATGCCCAAGTGTGAGTGTGTGGACAGCATGGCTTAGAGCCTGGAGCTCCAGTCATTTCAGTAACAAACTTTGAAGCCACTATCTTGGCCACCACAGTTTCCTATCTACAAAATGCGTATTGGTGATTCAAGATCTGTGCTAAGCATCAGCTATGTGCCAAACCCAGGCTAGGCATTGAAGATACAAAGATGAATGAGGCATGGCCTCCTTGCAAATCTTTATGACCTAACGGGTTTATACCCAGCTCTTTGAGTTCATTTTTCAAGCCAAAGAGGATCCCTACAAGAAGGACCATGTACCAGACATATATAGGCAGCTATTCCATGATCCAAAGCAGGGCAGAGTTGTGGACAGAGCCCTGAGCTGTGGGTTAGAAGGCCCGAGTTCTAGTTCCAGCCCTGCTAGTATTTAGCTGTGTGACCTCAAGCATGGCGCTGCATTATGCGGAGTACCGCTTGCTTCATCTATAGGTAGATATCCTTCCATGCACCACCTCCCTAGGTGGCTGTAAGGATTAAGTGAGCTGATGTTCATTAGGATCCTCGTGCTTCACTGGCACTGAGCACCTATCCATTTGGTAGGAACTGATTCTGAACCACCACTTAGCATCTCTGCAAGAGCTGGCCCACTCACTTGAGTCCAACCTCTGTAGACCTGAGGAGGGGTTGCCCCATTTTTCATGGAAAATATGTGCTGTATTCAAGTCCTTCAGTGGGGAGCGACTAAAACCAAGCCTCATCCATGCCGTCCCTCCACCAGCTTCCAACCCTCTGAGAGCTCAGCACGTGCCCAGGGCAATAGAAAAATCTCGTGTTTCGTTGCTTCATCCTCATTTTTTCCTTACTTCAAAGGGCCTGGTGATTCCAAGGTAAAGGGGCCAAGCCATGAGTCAAGGAGGCAGGTTTAAAGGAAAAATTTTATTTTTTTAAGGCTAGGATTAGTACTGATTAACGTGTGTGGGGCAGAGCTAGAATTTCTAGTTCCTCTGCCATCAAGAAAACTGCAGTGGAAAGTTCAAGAGTGCTTTTGCTAGCTCTTTCTTGAATATTTCCAAAGCCTTGGAAGGTTCTAAGTTTTGGGTGTGACATAAGGAAAGCTGAATGATAGGGCAAGGTCCTGCTCCCCTTTCCTCATCATGTCTGTCTGTCCCCTCTTTGTTCATAGTTGACCACGGCATGTTTGAGAATTTGAACACAGCCCTCACTCCAAAGCTCCAGGCCAGCCGCTCCTTCCCCCACTTGTCCAAGCCCGTGGCCCCCAGCTCTGCCTCTCTGGGCTCTGCTGAGCCTGGGGGGGCGGGACTCTGGGTGGGCAGCAGCCAGCACCTCAAGAACCTGGGCAAAGCCATGGGGGCCAAAGTGAATGACTTCCTGCGGAGAAAAGAGCCCTCCAGCCTGGGCAGTGTGGGTGTGACGGAGATCAACAAGACCGCAGAAGCACAGCTGGCCAGCGGGGCTGATGCGGCTCCAGGGGCCTGGCTGGAGGATGAAAGGTAAACCCCTCACCTGCCCAATACCCATGCCCCTCTGAGGACCCACTTAAAAAGGTACAGACAAACTGCAGTGTCTCCACAGGACAACAGCCCCGAGGAAGGGGTGTGAGATTATCCCATACAGAACAGCTGCAGGATCAGGCCACACTCGGGAGCTGGCTTCACCTTCCGCAGCCACAGCTGAAGGTTGCTGAGTACCCGCCATGTCCTCAGCTCTGTGCTACTGAAGGTTGCTGAGTACTCACCATGTCCTCAGCCCTGTGCTGTGGAAGGTTGCTGAGTACCCACCATGTCCTCAGCTCTGTGCTGTAGAAGGTTGCTGAGTACCCACCATGTCCTCAGCCCTGTGCTGTGGAAGGTTGCTGAGTACCCACCATGTCCTCAGCCCTGTGCTATTGAAGGTTACTGAGTGCCCACCATGTCCTCAGCTCTGTGCAGCTGAAGGTTGCTGAGTGCCCACCATGTCCTCAGCCCTGTGCTATTGAAGGTTACTGAGTGCCCACCATGTCCTCAGTTCTGTGCAGCTGAAGGTTGCTGAGTACCCACCATGTCCTCAACTCTGTGCTGTGGAAGGTTACTGAGTGCCCACCATGTCCTCAGCCCTGTGCAGCTGAAGGTTGTTGAGTACCCACCATGTCCTCAACTCTGTGCTGTGGAAGATTGCTGAGTACCCACCATGTCCTCAGCTCTGTGCTGTGGAAGGTTGCTGAGTACCCACCATGTCCTCAGCTCTGTGCTACTGAAGGTTGCTGAGTACCCACCATGTCCTCAGCTCTGTGCTACTGAAGGTTGCTGAGTATTTACCATGTCCTCAGCCCTGTGCTGTGGAAGGTTGCTGAGTACCCACCATGTCCTCAGCTCTGTGCTGTGGAAGGTTGCTGAGTACTCGCCATGTCCTCAGCTCTGTGCTACTGAAGGTTGCTGAGTACCCACCATGTCCTCAACTCTGTACTGTGGAAGGTTGCTGAGTACCCACTATGTCCTCGGCTCTGTGCTACATGCTTTGGTTGCATCATTTTTTCTAGCCCTCCCAGCAGCCCTGGGAGGTAGATGATATTTCCATCCTGCAGATAACTCATTTTCAGACTGGTAAAGTAAATAGCCTGAGGTCCCAAAGTTAGTACTTGGCAGAGCTGGATTTGAACCCAAGTATTGCCCAGAAGTTCTCCAAGTAGATTCCGATGCCCGGCCATAGCTGAGAACCGCTGCCCTAGACTACTGCTTGTGGAGAAGCCTGAGCCTGTCAGAGCCCACAGGGGCAGGGCGGGAGAGGGCCCCTGTAGCAGCCCTCCTGTTCTTCCCCCTTCTACCAACAGACCCTTTCCAGGCCTTGTTTTAAACACCTGTGCATCTGAGGCGGGAATGCCCTCTGCAGGCCTTATTGTGTGGCTTCTGATTTGACAAAGTTCACCAGTGGTCTTTATCCTGTCTTCCAGAGGCCAGTATTTTATGTTGCTCTGAACACTGAGTGAGCAGGGACCAGGCCAAAAGCTGCTGTTGTACTGAAGTTGCTAAAACCTGCATGCCAAACCAAGAACTAGACCCCAGGAGTAGGGCACTCATCAGCGGGGGTGGGTTGAAAGTGCAGTTGCAGTTGGAGAAGAGGAAGGAAGGTGGATTGGTGGCTTGTGGTCCTTAAGCTGTGTGTGTTTATTGTCATTAACCTTACAGGTCAATCCTGCAAGAAGCATTTCCTCGACTGGATCCTCCACCTCCCATAACCAGAAAACGAACCCCTCGGGCCCTGAAGACCACCCAGGACATGCTGATTTCATCACAGCCTGTCCTCAGCAGTCTGGAGTATGGGACAGAGCCATCACCTGGGCAGGCCCAGGACTCCGCTCCCACTGCCCTGCCTGACGTCCCAGCAGACGCTCCACAGTCAGAGGCCACCATGGAAAGAGAAGAGAGAGGCGAAGTTCTGCCCAATGGAGAGGTTTCCCTGTCGGTACCTGATCTCATCCACAAGGATAGCCAGGATGAATCCAAGCTAAAGATGCCTGAGTGCAGAAGGGCCTCCTCCCCCAGCCTCATCGAGAGGAATGGCCTCAAACTCAGCTTGAGCCCCATCAGCCTGGCTGAGTCCTGGGAGGAGGGCAGCCCCCCTCCTCAGGCGCGGACCTCCAGCCTCGACAATGAAGGCCCTCACCCAGACCTGCTGTCCTTCGAATAGAGCCTCCGCTCTTTCCTGGCGAGCACCACCCTGGTCTTCCTGTTGTTTTCTCCTCCACTGTGCACACGGGCCCTAGCCCCAGCTCCGCTGTGCCCTTCATCTTCCTTGTATGAGGCACCAGCAGACAGCCAATCCTCCACCATGGGATTTTGCAGGGCTGGAAGTCCTTGAGTAGTGCTAGTTAAAGAGTCTGTCTGCAGAATGGCTAAAGGACTCGATGTCATCTTGAGCCTAGTTTTCTGCAACCTCCTCTGGATGGGCTGCGGCCATTGGACATTGGAGCTCCTCTCCTCTTGAGTTTGTCCTGGCTTCTCAGTGAATTTCAGGGCCACCAGCCCAGGACGATGAATCTTGCAGGAATTCTCTTTGCCTGTCCCCCACATGCACCTCCTCCCCTGCTATTCTCCCTCCCACACCCCGGTCCCTTCTCTCTCCTCCTTGGCAGGTCCTAGGCCTCTGGCCTCAGTGGGAGCAAGGCTGAGTGAGGAATGATGGGTTTGGCTTGATGATGGGCCCTGACCTAGAAAGCCACACACCCAGACCACAGCCCAGCCATGGCTCCTCTTGGTCCCAAGACAGCACAGGCCCCTGGTCGCCGTGTTTGCTCTGCCCCTGGGATGGAGGCCAGAAGAGATGCTTACCAGGCCTGAGACTGAGAGTTCACCCAAGGCTTGAACCCTGCCACCAAGGGTTCCCAAGTTTTACCCCCATCTGGTCAGATGTTGAATACAAAATGTGGGCATTCTTCACGGAAGGAAAGATCAGGCTTCCCTTGCTGTGTGTGTGAGACAGGGAGAGCCAGGCCCCAGCAGATGCAGCCGAGCACACCCTGATTTTGTTTTGTCGGGAGGGCTCAGGAACTTGGGGGTGGTTTTGGTATTCAGGGCTGGTGCTAAAAACCCAGAGCAGAAGCAGGGAGAAGGGAGTGGACACGGGACAGAGAAGGGCGATCACTGGGGATCAGAACAGCTTTTCAGGGGCCACCTTGCAACCTCAAATGATGCCGTTTCAGGGCCTGGGCCTGCTGTGAGAGCCAGAGTGAAGCACATGCAAGATTGGCATGTGAGAAGAACTCGGGGGCGGGGGGTGGCGGGGACCACTTTCAATTAAGTGGAAGTGCTTTGTGCTTGTGCTGAAGTTGTCTGGGCCGCCTGCAGCCCTGGACCTCACAGGAGCGGCCCCAGCCTGCCCTTCCCTGCCTGCCCTTCCCTGCCTTTCTTTTATGCTGATGCTAGTGGGCTTTTTCCTGCTTTCAGGATCTGTGTAAGGGACTGACTAGGTTCATCCAACCTTAACTGGTTCCTGCCCTCCTGGATTAACCCACTTTTGTATTCCTGTCTCCCACCAGGGGTCCTATTGTGCTGTCTTCCTGTGGCCAGCAGACCCTATAAGGGGGTGATCCCAATCCCAGGGGTCTTTGCATCCCTTTTCTTGAACAAGGTGGCTGGTTCCCTGGGAGAAGGCTGGGAATGGCACATCCAGCCAGGGCAGGCGGTATGGCATCCTCCTCCTGGGATTCCTGTGGCCTCCCCTGTTCCATTCATTGTTTGGTTTCCCACCCATAAGCTCTGGGACACCCAGGGCTTGCTTCCAAGCTCTTCTCACCTCCAAGTTTCCACTCCCCTTCCCACTACCACTGCCATATAAAATGCCCACGCTAACTCCTATATAACTAGCAGGATCGCTAGGATGTGGGTGTCTTCCTGCATTCTTGCTTCTGCATCTGTGTGGCCTTGCCACAGCCCTCCCACCGCTTGCCTTCCATTGCTTTCCTTCTCCCAGAAAGCTAGATTTCACCACATGCTCACCACAAGCTGTCTCTGGTCCCTCGTGAGGGTCCCTGCAGCGGGGCACCTGCAGGCCCTGGTAGAGTAAGCAGGGCTTATGTATACATTCTTTCTCCAAGGATGCAATATCTGACCCTGAAGTCAGAGAAGGTCTCAGGACTAGCGTTCGGGGTCCTGTGATTTTCCCAGAATGGTTTGGGGTATCACACAAAACACCACAGCTGAGGATGGGGATGGAGTCCCTAAACACATCCTGGAAGCAAGCCACTTCATCTGAGTTTCCCATACCAGGAGCGTGGTTTGTGTTTTGATGGGAAACTTAGCAAGCCCCTGCTCTCTGGGGCTTCTCCTCTTCTAGAGCCGAGGGTGGCTCTGGCCCAGTGATATGGCAGCCATGGGTTCAGGGATTGCAGGTGCAGCCTTTCTTAAGTACCCCGTCTCCACTGTAAAGCCCAGCTGCTGCTGAAGTCCAGACTCTTAGACCCAGGATGAACAAAAGGATCCCAACAGGATGTCCAGGACCATTGCCAGGGTGACCTCAGTGTTCTTCAGACTTATGTCTGATACTGAATACAGCACCACGGGACCCTGCTGCAATCTAACTGCCTACAGCCCACCCATCCGCCTGCTGCAGAAGTGTTGCTGCTACCTTGGGAGGCTCTCTGAGACTGGGTTTCTGGTCTTCGATGCTGCAGATAGTACCTGGTGCTAGGGGCTAGGTGCTCCCCAGAGCTCAGCAGGATGAGCAGCTACCACTCATTCTGCAGAGGGCTTGGCTCAGACCAGGTCTTCCATCCAAAGCCTCACCTGGTTTCCGCATCCATCTCAACAGTCTGGCCTTCCTGTGACTGAAGCCTGACGGCCACGCCGCCACTAATCCCACACAGTGAGCCCAGCTTCTCTGGGAGCTTGGCCTTCAGTTAGCCCAGTCCATGAGAGGGCAGAGTAATGAGGAGGAGTAAAGGACCTGTCTTCTATGTTCACATAAGGAAGTTGGGACCACAGGGTCTTTTATCTCCTTGTTACTCCTCAGCCCCACCATAACCCCCCCTCAGCACACAGCTTTATCCTGGTAGATTATAAGGTGAGCTTCCAGAACCTGGCAGGAGGCTGGTGTATCCCCCTGCATTGAAGGAGGTGTATCTGAATGCCGTGTATGTGGCTGATATGGAAGACACACATGTCTGCAATCCACAGCTTTTAAAGAAGATTGGCTCCAGTTTGGAGGAGGAAGATCACAGATCTATTCTGAGTATTTTTTAGAGAGTTAATATTTATATTTTTAGAATTTTCTGGTAGAAGGAAATTGCACAATAAAATGACTTGGTTTCGTTTGCTGGCTCTGTCTGTTTTTTCTCCTGACTGATGGGAGTGATTCGTTTCCTCAAGGCTGACTTGCTGGGTGGTGGACATCGGCATTTTCCTTTGTAAGCCTGGAAAAGTGAGAAATGAGGGAGGTAGAAATGTGAGGAAGATGAGCACTACCGACACCTCCAGCCTGAATTCTTCGTGGGGAAATGACTTCTGAGGATGTGCCATCCTCGGCTTCCCTGACTGGCCACTGTGAGAGAGAACCTCTGCCAACCTGACCCATTGCTGTTTCAGGGGCGCCATCGCGATGTGCACAGGAAGGGCCCTCCTTGGAAGGAAGTGGACATGGCCATCGGATCATCCTCTAGCCCACTCATTCTTTACCTGGGTCCACAGCCCTCTTTCACCAAGAAAAAGGTGGAGCTTTGCATTCGTGTGAGCACCTTCTTCCAGAGAGGGACCAGAGCTCTCCGCTTCTCAAAGAGAGTCGTCAATAAATGTCAGTGATTTGAACTTAGGTACTTCCTGGGAAATTGCCCCCAAGGGCCACCCTGGACAGGGACATTCTTGATGCGAGAAGGTGGCTCAGAGAAGAGTTGGCCTGGAGTCTCTTTGCCCCATTGCTGCCCCTAAGCCAGTGTCAGATCCAAGGACTCAGAGGACCCACACAGCTGAGAATTGGCCAGGACTTTATCCTCCTTAAAAGGAAGGAAGTGGAGAAGAAACAGGAAGGGAAAGAGGGGCTTGGTTCACAGAGGCCACGCACGTTTCCAAAGGGAAACATGGAACGTTTCTGTGCAGCCCTCATGTGCAGCAGTGACTGTGTCTGGGGTTGGATTCCACAGTTCCACCTGCAAGGGCCCCCTGGCTCCCTGTCAGAGGCGTCTCAGTGTGGCTAGGTCCCTCATGTTTTCTACATCTTGTTCCACTCCCACACCTTGTTTCTCAGAGGAGGGGCAAGAAGAGAACAGCTGGGCTCTCAAAGGTTGCTTGCTGTCTCTGGAGTGGGGCGTGTCGTGATTGTCCAGGGAAAGCAGAAAAAACACAAAAATCAATCCACCACGTTCCACGCATGGGAAAAGCGTTGAAAATACTTAAAGTAGCAACTTTTTTCTTGACGAGTATGCTGCGGTGACTTTTCAGATGACCTGTCCCACTGAATGGCTTCAGAGCTGTTTCTGCAGTCATTCAGGTGTGAAATGTGCTTTTAACATGCCTTTCTCTCCCACTATTATGCAAAGTCGTTATTTTCGTCTAAGATCAAGTATACACAGTTCTAGTGCAAAAAAAAAGTTTTTGAGGAAATTTTAAGTGTAGAAATGGAAGTGCATATGTCGTGTTTTTTAATGCTGTGCTCTATGCTGAACCACGCTTCTAGAATCTGGGGAACAAAGATGCATTTATTGAGGCAATATACCCAAGCCACTACCTGCCATGCACTAAGGGCTATCTAGGGCAGTGTTGACATTGCTGGAAAAGTGGCATGTGGTCCTCTTTCTCCATTCTGAATGGATGGGGACGCCATCATACCTGCCCTCCCAGGCGCTATGCGAACAGGGTATGCGATCAGGGCATGAAAGTGCAGTGGAATCACCAAAGCAGGGCTCGGGTGAGGCAATCAATTTCAGCCGAGACTGCTCGTTTCCTCTGGACTAAATCTGCCAGTAGTAGTTGCTGAAGGAAACACACTCACAGGCCACCAGAAAACCTACTTCATCCCTTACGTCTATGCCCATGCTGGTGGGGACCCCAGCTGGTATTCAGACTTAATGAAATTAGCTGACCCGGGAACGTACTCAGATGCTACCCTCATCTCAGAAAATTCCTGCTGGGCTGGTTTAATCTGCTCCGAGATTTCACAATCTCTTTGAGGTCAATGAATCCTGGTAGTGTTCTAGAACTCTGTGCTTGGACTCCCTGTCCTCTCTCTTCTCTGCTCCCCACACTGCGGAGTTTCCCAGCCCAGCCTAGCTGTGGTGGCAAACTCAGTGATGGCTTCTGTGAGATTTTGGCCCTCAGAGTGCCCTGGGCTTCAGTCGCCCAGTTCGCTGCTCGGGTTTGGGACATGCAGTCTGGAGCCTCCCACTGTGGCCCCTCTGTGAGTGGGAACAAGTAATTAAGTCTATATAGCTCTTGTAGAGAGACTCCTACCTCCCCCTTCGAAAGCTTCATCAATGCACATGGCATTTAATACCTTTCATCTCTCCCAAGGAAATCCACTCTGGAAGCCTTAAGTTGTCCAGTGAAAGCATCCACAAGCACATCCCCCCTCCAGGACGCCCCTCCCTGCTACTGTTTGTACTGGGGGCATAGGATGAAAGCCCGGAGTCCCCACCACTGACTTCCTCCTAATGAGAAAATTCCTCCACTTTCCGTATCTAGGGACCAGCTCTCCTGAGACACAAATCCTCTTTGTGTCCAGCTTATCTCCAGCTGCTGCCATGATAAATACTCCAGCCCAAGGGAGTCTGGGGAAGCTACCCCACAAAACGAATCACTTGGCTATTAACAACACAGATGAGGACCCAAGCTTGAGGAAACATTTAAGGACCACCTCAGACTCCAGGCTGTATTCTCCCTCGTGCGAGTTGCCTGAGGAATCTGTTGGTTGTATAGAGCAGGGAACATTGCCAATGGTTGTTCTTTAGAATTGACCAAAACAAAACAAAAAACCCCAAAACAAAAAGCAACCTCCCAACAAACTGCAACTTTTTTCTTTTTTGCCGTGTGTAGCCAGCCAGCTGTTTCCAGCGCCATCTGCTTAGCCACCGCCTTCCTGAATCATCCCTCCATGTCGGCCGCCACCTGCTTTCTAGGCTTGTATTTATTGCGGAATTCCTGTTGGCTTGGTCTGATGTTCAAGCACATCTGAGGATACAGCCCGCTTCAGGGGCTAACTCACAGCAACTTAGAACAATTCCCTGTGGTGCTCACAGGAGCGCTTTGGGTTGGTTCAGGCCTTCACAGGGCAAGCCAAAGAGGAGGAGAAAAGTGAACTGTCAGTCCTGGGAAGGCTTTGCAGCTTCGGCAAGATGCACGCCCCCTCTTTATCCTGAGCCTGCAATGGATGGGTCCCCTTGCTGGAGAGAAAAGCTCAGGACACGTGTGGACTGCTCCTGTTGTTTTTTGCCTTCTCACAATGTCCTGGAACCTGCTAAATTCTGTTGCAGCCAACCTCCCTTGCTCAACTTGAATCCTGGGTCTAATGTGTCAGGAAGTCTTTGCAGCTGACCTGGCAAGCACTCTTTAGACCTGGCCAACGTGTGACATTTCTAGGAGCTGGGCCTCCTGGAAAGGCCGTGTCAGCCATCTAGGAAGTGATTTCGCATGTAAGAAAGCTGGAGGGGGAGAAGGGGGTAGGAGCCTTGCCCATGCCTCCCCTCCCCACCCCCACCCCCACCCCCTTAATCATCAGTCAGCGACTATGTAGGTGGCGCATGCTGTGACCAGGCCAGGAGACTTGCTAAGACGCATGTTGGGAAGGTGTCAGGTGGGTTCTCTGCGCTCTAGATTATCTGTGGCCACCTGCCTACCTCGAGGTGACATCTGGTACTGCTGCCTCTCTGCTGCAGTTCCCCGGGAGCCCCAACCTGCTCTGAATTGCTTCCATGCCTGTGTTTAAGGTGGTCCATCTGCCCAGGTCACCTTTCTACCTTCCTTTCCCTTTGCTCTGACTTTACCAGGCTATGTACATTCATCCTTCACATTTCCACTCAGGCATCCCTCCCTCCGAGGTGGCTTCCTGACACCACCCCACGCCTCCTCTGTGCTCCCATAGCGTTCTATGAGTTCCTCCATCACGGCACTTGCTGTGTACCATAGGAAGTGCTTCCTCTTTGTGTCTCTGTCCTACAGGTCCCTGAGCTCAGGGGCAGGGACCACGCCATCTTCATCTCTGACTTCTCGGTTCCCAGCACAGTGCCTGGCATGTTGCAGGAGCATGATAAAGATGCTCTTTGAATGGAACTAAACTCAGGAAACTTGCCGTTGGATTTGTGTGGAACAGACTAGATGGGCTCTGGGGTAGACCAGCAGGACCTCTTTCAGTCCCTCTCCATCAGGGTGTCTATCCATATAGGCAGCCTCTGTATGTGATCATCAACTCTGCAGAGAAGGGTTGAAGGTGGCCATTTTCAAAGTGGAAAGTGATTAATGGGCCAATGTGAGGCTCATTTATCTGCAGCCAGAGCCTTCATTAACTCTGTTCCTTGGACAGGTGCCACCTTGCAGTGGAGCTGGTAGAAGCAAGCACTTACATTCAGCATCATGCAAGAAGGGTTGTGCTTCAGTGCCAGGCCCCTGCCTACCTCTGGGAGCAGCTTACAGGGCTCTGAGTTCCAATTCTTAACATTCTCCTTCACTGTGTTAGGCTTGACTATTAATTAGTGCTTTGTCATTCTCTGAAGCTTCTAGATACTCCAGGAATTGTGTTAATCTATTTATACACATGGTCTCATTTGTTTTTCTGATAGCCCTCCAAGGGAGGTCTTACTAAGCCCATTTTCCAGATACGGATGTTACTCCATTGTGCTTAAAGAGATTCACACACACTATCTCATATCTTATCTTTTGTGAGGGAGGTATTTCAGCCTCATCTTAGGAACAGGTAAACTGAGGCTGAGATGATGACGAAGCCAACTTCCTGGGTCTTAGAACTGAGAGGCAGAACGAGCTGGGAAGGCCTAGGTCTTCGGGCCTCAGAAACAGCCATCTGCCCCCACTGCACAGCTCTTCTCCGTCTCTATCACGGCGGTCTGATAAATAATTCCAGAAAACGTTCATGGCTCAGAAACATCTTTTTGAGTTAGATCTTCTCCAAGATCAATACAATTTCATTAAACACTGCGTATTCATAAGGGATGGGAACTTAAAGACCCATTTCACAGTCCCCTCGTTTTACACAAGAGGAACCAGCTGCATCGTTAACACGATGACCTGGTCTCAGTGAGGCCCCACAGTAACTTTGTGTGGTGAGTCATTATCCTCATTTTCCAGATGAGGCTGACCAGAGGCTTAGGGAGTCTTAG